AACATTGCATTAATTAATACATCTTGGCTCTGATAATGAAATCTATGTAAAAGAGCTGTTGGAAAGGCTAAAAACTACTTATTTGCCTATTATATTAAAAAAAAATCAATTAGTCCAAAACTACGTAGAAATATTTCTTTCTCATTTCAAAACACGTAATCATAATATTATGATAGAAATCATCAATAAGCATGAGATGTTATAATTAATGAAAGTCGTAGATAAAAATTCAACAAAAAATAATAATAATGACATGAGTGCTATATTGAGCAAAAGTTGAGGACATTAAGTGTAATTAAAATGCCATACAACAACAAATAAAAACTGGTATGCTAATATAACCACCCAATATTACATATCTAGGTATACTGCATGGTTAGACCTTTTAATTGGTATTTCAAAACTACCCCTTCATACTAGTACATAATATCATAAATTGTTTTATAAGTTTTCAGGTTGTTCGGAATTTTAAAATAAATTTCTAAATCAGCACGTTTGGAAATTACTAATAAATTTGATTTTTTAGAGTGGTAATTTTATGTCTTGAAAAAAATTAATTTTTAGCTCAAGCATAAAATTTAGAAACCAAATGCAAATATTTATGTGTAAATTCGAAAAGAGTATTAATCACACTATATATAATGTTCATTAAGAGTTAAAATATTTTTTGAACCACCTAATTGATTGCATATGCCTTTGGTATATATAGTGGAGCGAATTAGATTGAACAAAATTTAACAAGAAACAAATGTGCAAAATATTTGTCGATTGTATTGGTTTAATTCTAATCGCTTCTGTGTTCAAACCATTTCCTCCATAGAGGCCAATTCAGTGGATTCAATTATGTCCAAACACTATGCATAACATCAAAGTCATCAATTTATCTACACTTGCCTTTCATTGATTCCCACAATTCATGTCTCCCACAAATACAAGAATGTTTGAACAAATATATAGTTTGAAGGATTAGACATGTTTCACTTTTGATAAGAAATTTGATATGGTATATTTCTTATCTAGGATTGGACATTTGCTAAGGTCTCAACATGGGCCCTCCAAAAAACATGCAAATATTTGTCATTTTCTTTAAAACCCTATCAAGAACATTGGATTCTGATATTATCAATACATATATCTCCAAAAACCCTAAAAAATTCCAGCAATTCCAAGCAGTGCTCAATGTGAGTTGTTTCCCAAAGAACCCACCAATTGCTACTAAGTATTCTTTGCGGTAGACCCACTTTACGTAATTCCAAGAGTAAAGTGTGGGATTCAAGAAACAGATATTTGGTCTCTTGGAAATGTAGTTTTGCTGCAAATTATATGAGAGAGATAATTGATGAAGGGAGACAAGAGGCATGCAGCTGAAGAAGGAAATCAGTGACAAATAACCTAATTTGACTCTTCACTGATTTCCAATCCCAACGCTTTTGTCCTAATTGTAATGGACATATACATATACTAACCAATATCTACTTTGGTACACTTGTTTCCCGATTTAATCACACCTAACTGTTCATATTTGTATCGATTTAGTTAGAAAATCAAAACTTCACTTTTGAAAGTTGAAAGTTTCAAACTTAAAAGGTGTTTGTGAGACATTTTTATGTAAAAATGCATTTTTGAATGGTAAATTGATGGAAAATGTGTTGTTGAAAAATAAGGAAAAGTTTTTGATTTACGTGTAATATTATTTTAATAAAGAACGTGTGGTTGAAAAGAAGAGAAAGAAAAATACATTTTGAAAAAAATGGCTACCAAAATATTCTAAAGATCGTAGAGAACCGAAAATATGGATGCACCGAAGAAAATGATACATGTTGTGGGTAGCATTAAAATAATAGTTTGGGCTTCATTTCAATGAGATTTTGAGAAAAATGTATTTTAAAACAATATTTTTTTTAGAATATGAGGTTAAAAAGTAAAGAATAGTTTTGAATTTACGTAAAAGAATGTTGATTAAAAACGAAGAAAGAGAAAAATACTTTAAATTAAAATGGAGTCGGAACAGGGCAAAGTAAGGTACTATTATATGCTAAAATTGCAGGTTGGCTTAAAACAATTAATGGGTGCAAGTATCAACGTCCGAAGAACGTGACACTCAATTTTCGCAAGAGTAAGACAATGACCTTATTTGTCTCCTGCCCAAATTCGCGTGCCGTTCCAATTTTAGGAAATTTGAGAGAGCAAATATTGCGATTTTGATTATCAACTACAACTCTATTTATCATTTGTTACATTTTCTCGCATGTTATTTAAAGATGTTAATTGCTAATTATATTTTTATTGGTTGGTCGAGAATTACATGTCCATTAAAAAAATTAAATTAAAAATCTACATTTGTTCGTTTGATTAGTTCCAACGTTATTTATTGTTGACTAAATTTTCTAGTGAAGAATTACGAGTGTAGGGTTTTAAATGATCATCGATCCTAGTAGGAATAAATATTTGAAGAACTTGTGTAACATTATTTTACTTTACGAACACTAAGAGTAAAAATATTAAGTTTTCTTCGTAGTATTTACTCCCTACCCACCAAATTACTCGGAAAAGGCAAATAAATCATGACTTTGAACCCTAAAAATGACAATGACTCTTTCTTGTGATGTTTACTATATATATATATATATATATGTATGTATGTATGTATGTATGCACACTTTATGCTAATTCTTTTTATTGTAATAATTATGGAGATTGCGAAAAAAAAGTATTTATTAAACAAGATTTAATTAATTGTCTATACTATATACAGGAAGAATGATAAATGGACATGGAGAAAAACAGGGGGGAAAAAACAAAGAAATGTCGAGCGTTTATATATATATATATATATATATATATGTATGTATGTATGTATGTATGTATGTATGTATGTATGCACACTTTATGCTAATTCTTTTTATTGTAATAATTATGGAGATTGCGAAAAAAAAGTATTTATTAAACAAGATTTAATTAATTGTCTATACTATATACAGGAAGAATGATAAATGGACATGGAGAAAAACAGGGGGGAAAAACAAAGAAATGTCGAGCGTTGGCTTTTTTTTTTAAAGTCTCCAATTATGTATTGATATGTGTTAGCATTGCTCCTATGAATTGATTGGTTCAGTTCAATTCCAATTGAATTTTATTTGTTTCTGGGTACTAGAACGGAGAACAAGAAATCATTTGTTTGGTTCTTCATTGTTTTGTTCTGGGTTCTAGCTATATAACTAAATTTTAGTTATATCGACTATTAATTATGAAAGTTAAAAATAAAAAAAATAGTAGTTGACACTTTACAATTTTATTATTATTATTATTATTTGAATAGCACTATTTTTGGTCACTCAATATCGTAGTCACTCTACGTGACATACATGTAACGGTTAGTGATTTGATATATGAGGTAAGAAAAAATTCTCACATTAATACATTAAATCACAAAATTGCCAGGTGAGATACCATGTAGGACGATTAGTGCAATGATTACTCATTTCATTTTATTATATCGGATGAAATACTTGATTTCAAAGTCTAAAATGTTACATAGAGTCACATGTATATCGTTTAAATATTGTCTACAATACATTGCTGATCATATGTAAAAGGATTCAAAGCTTAATAGGATATTGAATTCCACATGTGCTGTTATATACCATATTGAACCATTTGATTTAAAGAGTTAATCGACTAGATATGGTCAAATATATCACATTTAAATATAGTCTTCAACAATATTATATTTGGTCTCAAAATCATTATAAAAGAAGTTCAAATTTATTTTTAGTAGGTTATAAGGTCAATTTACGCATTTTTTGAATAGCTTTTCTTTATTTCTATCCAAAATATAAAAATAATTATCTTAAAACTACGTATCACCTATCAACATTTTAAAGAAAATTGCAGAGGGTCTCTAATTTTTTGGAAAAGATGGAAAATGGACCCCTAACATTTTTTTCTTCACATGACTATCCAAACCTTTAAAAAATAAACATCTGAATGACCTTTAAACAGTAATGTCCCAAACTGGCATGTGTAGTGAACGTCTAACTTTCGCAAGAGCAAAAGAGTATATGTACGATTATGATTAAAATAATTAAAGAATGAAAGAATGGGCAACAATAAAAGGAAGAAAACAATTGAAGAATTCATCTTCCCCCACGCCACAACATGTTGCAGCCACCAACCAACAACTAGTCACTGATAGTCTTTGTCGACTCCACATCCACAACTAGTCGATTGCTCAATTTACATATCTAACTTACTTATAATTCTTTTAATTTTCGATCACAAGGAAATTCAAAACACGTGATATGGTGATGAATGGTAGGGACGTTAAGTGATTCGGAGGCATTTTTCCAAGTTTTGCAAACCTATCTCCGAAATATGGGAATAGTTAGGAAAGAGATTCCCCATAATTTCTAGGGAAATGGCATGACAGAGAGGTGTTTTTGAGTATAGGAAGATGGTCAAAGTCGATACCAACGATGCAATTGAATTGGGGATGGTGTCATTTCATTAGGTGGCAGTGGTTGGCTATGGGTGCTGGAAAAGGTGAAATTTTTTTCCTCATTTATTTATTTTGTTTTGTTTTAAAAGGAAAAGAGGCGAAAAAACACATTTGCCTTTCTAGAAAGCAGGCAAATGCAATTCACACATGTTAAATTACACAAATTTTTTTTAGACGATTATCGTTCAAAGGTCATTGCGGTGCTTATTTTTCCGAAGCTTTGGAATAGTGGTGTCAAAAGTAAAGGTTAGGGGACCTGTTTGCACTTTTTCAAAGGTTAAGAACCTAGGTGCAATTCTATGATTTTTCAGAAAAATGAAAAAAAAGGATAGGAGGTGTTGAGCTCATCATCCATTGGCCCTACTTTTGTCAAGAATTCGCGATGGTCCAACAAAAATGTTGAAAACGAAAATAATATAAATTAATTAAAAACCCAAAATAGTCAATTATTAAAAGAAAACCAAATTATTACATTATTCATAAGAAAAAAACTGCCTCCTACTTTCTCTCCGGTATAAATGTCCATCTTCTCCTTTCATTTCTCTCTCTCCCCTCTGAAACGATTTTTGTTCTTCATATTTGCTCTCTCAAAAACCTATACATACACTATACCGGTGAAAATTGAAATATTTTTTTCTGATTTATTTTGTATTATTACACTGCAATCGAAGAGAACACAGCTTCAGAGGTACGTTTTCTTTGGTCCATAATCATCAATTCCAATATTTATTGATTATTTTGACCTCGGTTGTCTCCTTTGATCCTAATGGTAATACTCTATATTTATGCTTTCTGGATCTTCATTTCCTTCAATTCTCTGTTAGAATTTCATCCCTTTTTAGATTGCGATTGGTTTGTTATTCTGATGGAAAATGAAACTATTTGCCTGTTTAATCTGTTCAGGTGATATTGTATATTGGAGAAGAGATTTCAATCGGTTAAAATGCACCAAATTCGGAGACATTTTGTTTCCAAAATAGGGTCCCTAGGCCTAGGGTTAGGTTTGTTTTCCGAGTATAGGAAATGGATTTCAGTGTGACAATTTATGGGCTTTCGATATTTTATGCAGGCTGAAAGGGTTATGGGTCTATTGGGTGAAATTTGAATACTGGGGTATCGTTTAGTTGCAATTGAGCGTGGTGGAAGTGGTAGGTTAAGGGTCACACAGGGCTAATATTCAGCAACTGCAACAGAAACCCGAGAGCACAGCGGCTGATGCTCGCTCTGAATTTGAGAGGGGCTTGGAGGAGTTCATGCGTGGGCATTATGATGAATGCATGTCCTTCAGTTTGTGCAGTTCTCCGCGCACCACTACTACTACTGAAGATGAGGAGGATGAGGGCGAACAGCTTGTGCGGAGGAGGAGGAGGTCGAATCTCGAGAGTGATGATTTGGCAGAGTCTTCTGCTGCCAGGAGGCGCCAATCGAGGATCTTGAGTAGGTGGGCTGCTCGTCAGGCAGAGGAGATGATCACCACTATTGAAAGGAGGAACCGCGAATCAGAGTTGATGGCACTTGCAGGCTTGCACACAGTCTCCATGCTTGATTCTTCATTCTTGAGGGAGTCACAGTCCCCAACTTCGAGGCGCCAAGGGAATGTTGAGAGGCTGAGTACCCGGGCCTCCTCTATTTTACAGATGTGGAGGGAGTTGGAGGATGAGCATGCATTGAGTCGTGCCCAGGAAAGGGTAAGGGAGAGGTTGAGGCAGCGGAGGAGCATGGATTCAAATACAAATATGTCAGGAAGTAGAGAGAGTAATGATCAGGGAAGTCTGGAAGGTGCTAGTGAGAATGAGCATGACTTTGCAACTTGGTCCCATGGTCAGGTGGGCTCACAGAATGAGAATAGGGATCCTGACAATTCTAGTCGGGAACAATCACCTGATCTAGGGGATGTTGAGAGGGAGAGGGTGAGGCATATTGTTCGGGGATGGATGGAGAGTGGCATTAGTGACACTTCATCTAATGTTATGCAGGGGAATGGAAGTCCTGGAGCTGAATGGTTGGGGGAAACTGAGCGTGAAAGAGTAAGGGTTGCAAGAGAGTGGATGCAAATGACAAGTCAACAAAGAGGATCTCGTAGTGGACGCAGGGAAGAACATAATAGTAGACTTGCTGCTCAAGTTGACCATGTCCATGAAGGGTCTGTTGTTGCCCACGCAGAAGGTCAGCCAGAGCATATTCGCACAGACATGTTGAGGTTGCGCGGAAGACAAGCCTTGCTTGATTTACTTGTCAGGATAGAGAGGGAAAGGCAGGGGGAACTTCAGGGCCTGTTGGAACATCGTGCTGTTACTGACTTTGCTCATCGCAATCGCATTCAGGTGATAACATACTATTTTGGTTTCACTTTATTTTGTTTGATATGATTTTAGTTTTACTGTAACATTCTAATTTTTAAAGTAGTGCTGATCATGTGCAAGCTTTGTCTTTGATCATAGCTGTACAGTATTCAAATATAATCTTTAACTTTTGTTGTTGCGAGTATGTTCAAAGTTTAGTTCTGTTTGTCAAATTCAGCAGTTCAGTTATATATTTTATACAAATCAGCATTGTGTGGGAAAATGATTTCTGAATTGCGACCATTGACCTAAACTACTACGAGTTGCTCAGCATATTAGGGTGCGGAGGCACTAATGAATTTTTTGGTGGGTTGTCTCATTTACAAGTGGTATGGGTTTCAGTTCAACCTTCTTGTTCTTGTTGTCATTTTTGGTTTCTTTTTAGATAAATCTCAGCTGTGGTTTGAATATCTTACTCAAGACTTCAGTACATGGATTTTATTTCAAGTTTATATGTTGAACTGTTGAAGTACCTGTCAGACAAGGTTGGATGCACCCATAGGCTCTTTTTATCTGTTTTCCAATGATTCCTCTTTATTCATCAATAGTGCATTGAGTCACTTTTTGTGATGGGATATTATTATATTCTCATTGATTGGTTGCTTATCATGAAATCTTGGAACAATATATATATATACATAGATATATGTATACATATATCTATGTATACATATGTATACATATATGTATCCACATATATATACATATATGTATATGTATACATATAGATATGTATATGTATACATATATATATGTATATGTATATGTATATGTATATGTAACGAATGTTTCTTCCTGATCTTCCTTTGGTGGAAATGCTTCTAAAATTGATTAGTATCTCGCTCTGCAATAAGAACTTTACGCTTGTTCAATATCAAATATCAAACTGTAAGTTCCTGTTTTAGATCTGTAAATCACTGACATTTATTAGCTCCTTGCTTTAAGTTAATTTATGCCTAGTCTTAATGCTAAAAGTCAATATTTGAAGAGTAACTGCGAGTTGATGTTTATTTCAAGTAGTGTTTTATTAGCAATAACATGAGTCAACAAGTTGCTCCATCCTTTTTTATCTTGTGCATCAGAGATCCATTTATATGGATTCATCATTTATTTCGGAAAATGTTTCTCTGAGCTTCTGGAGTAATTCACTTGAATTTGTAATTATAACCTCCTATTCTTGTTTCAATTTTCAGTCATTACTTAGAGGCAGATTCTTAAGAAATGAAATGCCCGATGACGAAGAGCGACCACCTTCAAGGGCAGCTAGTGAGTTAAATCAGTTAAGGCAGCGACACACTGTCTCTGGTCTGAGGTATGGGCACTTATGCAAGCCATACGCTGGAACCTTCTTACTTCTTTAAATTTTTGTTCTTCCTTTCTTTTACTTTCTTTTGCCCATTCTGGGTTTTGTGTACGTTTTCCATTCTTATACTTGGCACTAGTGAATGGAATGAGAACATTATATTCTAGATTTTTGAGTGAAACACTTTTCCAGTAACTTAGCGTTAAGAGGTATCAAATGATGTTATATCAACTCATTTCCAAAAATAATGATGGAAGTTGTAGTGACACGTAGGATGGGGAAGTCAAGAAATGAACATGATGTCTAATGTTTAATTCGTTAAGCTAGAAATGTATCCAGCCATTGATGCGAACACGTTCTTGGTTATGTGATATTGGTGGACAACAGTAGCTTGCTCTAATTTTCAAGCTTATCTAAGATTTTAATGCAGTACAGGTTTGATCATTTTAACAAAGATGAAATAAATAATTGATGCGTTTGTAGGATCGATGGAGAGAGTATAAAAATAAGAACTATGATGCTCACACTCTTCAGTTTGCATGACGTAATTGTATTGACACAAACATGACATAGGTATATGAGTATGGATACCCTGTTTGATTCTTCAATTTAGAAATGTACAAGACAGAAACATGGAAGGGAGATTGCTGTGGGAGGAAGTAGAAGTTGCTGGGAGATAAGCAATAAAATTGATCATGAGGCATAAAACCAAGATTTTTAAGGCATGAAACCAAGCCCATTTAATGCCACACTCACAAATACATATAAAATTATTAGTATAGTATTCTAAAAAAAAATTATGTTTGTGTTTGAAAGACATATGCATTTGCCCATGTCCAAATTTTGGATCATTTTAGACATCCTTGTATCTTAAGTTTTAGAAGAAAAACGATTCGATTTTAGATGTATACCCATACCGGATACCCGTACCCAATTCCGAGCAACATAGAATAAGAGTGGAGGACAGGGAAAGAGAAAGGGAGGAAGAAAATATAGAAGGCCTAATAATAATAAGTTAATTCCTTTTTGTGTTTGACTGGCATGAATCAAGGCTGCATGAGCGCTCAAATATCTTTGTCACAAATATGTTTAGGTTTTTATGTACAACACATGTTGATTGATCTTGATAAAAGTCCACTGATGGGACTTTTTTTTTTTTCCCTTTTTTAAAAATTCCTGGTATCATAGTTATTTCTGCTTTTCGGAGGGGTATCCTCTTTGATATTCTGTATGCATATTACATGTAACCTTTTCTTCTGCTTGAGAGCTTGTCCTTATTGTGCACCTTATGATTTATTTAAGTAAGGAAAGTCCATGATACTTACTTAACACTGTAATCTGATATGTCTGGTCATTTTCCTTTATAATATGTTGGAGGAAATTTTTGCAATTTTTATTTGATTGCATGCTTATAAATTTCATTCAGGGAAGGGTTCCGCTCCAGATTGGAAAACATTGTTCGTGGCCAAGTAAGCAGTCAAATTGAAACTTCATCTAACAATAACAACAGTGATTCTAGAAATGATCAGACTGATACAAATTCTTCACAGGAAGTTCAACACGAGAATAATGACCAATCTCAATCTAGAAATCAGGAAAGTGAAGTTAACCCATTGCCAGATCGTATGTCAAATTTGGATAGCAGCACAGCTGTTCAAAGTACAGTTCAACAAGCTATTGCAGATCAAGGAAGCAATTGGCAGGAACAGATTACTGAAGATGAGAGAGAAAACATGCTAGAACCAACCTATAATGAGTCCAATGGATGGAGAGATGGCACTTTGCAAGACACGGATAGGAACTGGCAGGAAAATTCCGTACCTCATTGGAACTTGGAAGCATCAGTAAATGAAGGCGGAGGTCAAAGTCAGCTGGAAGAAGTCCATGAGGTTTGGCGTGATGATGGTTCTCGCTCTCTAGAAGCTATAGATAATTGGTCGGAAGGACCTTCAGATGTTCCAAGAAGGCGGGACTCTCTACCACACAGAAGGGGCACCAGGTTCCACCCTCCTGATGATGATAACGTGTACAGCATGGAACTCAGGGAGCTTCTCAGCAGGTTATTGCTCACACCGTTATGTGCTCAAGCTTTATATTTTTTGGGCTTATATTCAACTTAGCCCATGTTTGGCTAATATTTATAAATAATTAATAATCGGTCAAATCACTTTTTATTCACACATTTCATGGGACTTACAAGTACTATCCACTTGCCTACCACTCATTGCTATCTATTTATAATTTAAACTGTTTATAAGCACTAACTTGCTTTTACTTTTCATTGTAGGAGGAGTGTCTCTAATCTTCTTCGTAGTGGTTTCCGTGAGAGCCTAGATCAGTTGATTCAATCATATGTAGAAAGGCAAGGCAGGTCTCCTATTGACTGGGATCTGCACAGGAACTTGCCTCTTCCAGTATCCCCGGAGAGGGATCAGGACCAACAAAATGATGAGCAGAATGAGGATCAGCATGATGCTATAGGTCGACCTTCATTGCTATTACCATCCCCTCCAGTACCACCATCTCAACCACTTTGGCATCAGGATTTGCACCACTCTAGTTGGTCTCGTCACCATCGATCTGAACTCGTGAGTTGATTTTTTCTTGTCATCTCTGTTTTCAAGGATGTGAATTGTGAAGCGCATATAATTTGTTATGTTGATTTGACAATGATTTGTTATGTCCTTTCCTCAAGAAATCAGGATATTGTTATTTGACAGTTGTTTGATTAAGGCTTTGGATGTCATGGTTGATTATGTGAGAGTGGCCAAACAGTTGAGGCCTGATTAGGTTATGGTCCTTGAAAACTTTGTTTCGATGATATAGGAATTATACAATGCCCAAATGTTAAGGAATACCTATTCATTTGCGTACTCTATGAAGAGAAGATTAAAATTGGATTGATGAATTTAGGAAATGACATTTGTCATTCATCATCTCGTGTGAAAATTGGCGACAAATTGTCCAGAAGCTACTCATTTTGGTTCTTGTACTTAATATCTATGTTTATCGCTAAAATCTCATGTTGCTTAAGCATAGTGGGTCAAAAATCTGCTTGAGTATTTAGTGAGGTTGATTAGTGTGACTGTCCTTTTAAAATTGTGCTAAGCTGTGATTCTTCCAGCTTTGGAATCATTTCATTGTTCAATACTAAGACTTAATCTGACTAGTTTTAGTCTTCAATATAAGCAAAACTGAGGTTCAGTTTGGAGTCTGAATGGATCGTTCCAAATTCTCTGAAGCCATTTACCATCCCATTATTTGCAGAACTGTTGATGAGACTACGATTATGCAATTTCATGTTTGAACTGAATCCTTGCTTCCTAATTATGGGCAGGAGTGGGAGATGATTAATGATCTGAGAGCAGACGTTGCAAAACTTCAGCAAGGTATGAACCATATGCAAAGGATGTTAGAATCTTGCATGGACATGCAACTGGAGTTGCAACGGTCAGTCCGGCAGGAAGTCTCAGCCGCTCTTAATCGATCAACGGGTGGACAAGGTTTGTTTGTAATCTTGATGCTATGAACCTTGAGTTTCTACCTATTCAAGCCTCGTAAAAGTGTTTTTGCCTTATCATGAGCTTATGTAGCCATTTCTGGTGTTTCTCACCTTTCAACGGCTCTCTCTATTAATTGCCCTAGTTTAGCAAAATGTTGCTTCTGTCCTCCGATTAAATTGAATTTTCTGTTAGAGAGCTGTCTTATATTGTTTGCTGTAAAAGGTTTTATTAATGCATGTGCATACATTCAGGGATAGCAGAGACTTCAGAGGATGGGTCTAAATGGGGTCAGGTTAGAAAGGGTACCTGCTGTGTTTGCTGTGATAACCACATTGATTCTTTATTGTACAGGTATGGTAACCTATTGTATTATGCTAAATTATACGCGCTACTATTCTGCACACAACTCCAATGCACGCCCATTAAGACAAATATACTAGTTTGAAGTCATTTAAAGTCTTTTTGAAGCCAAATATTGACACCATATCGTCCACGGTACCGTTCTTGGCTTAATGGGAGTCCATAGGTGGTGAAAAAGGCTTTATATGAACTTTCTATGTCAAATCGGCACCATATGGAGAGTTACACACTGTTTTATGTCACAACATTGTTTTTGAGTTCGGGTAAATTTATTTTTTGTGGCCACCTTACATATGTTTCTCTGATCTGCAGATGTGGGCATATGTGCACTTGTTCTAAATGTGCAAACGAGTTGGTTCGCAGAGGAGGAAAGTGTCCATTGTGTCGTGCACCCATTGTTGAGGTGATTAGAGCTTACTCCATACTGTAAAAAGACACCATAGAGAATAAAATTTGCGAACCATTGATAAGATACGTTGGAGCTGTGATCGATTTTACTCGTCTGAAGCTCAATCTTATCTGTAGAGTGTTTAGTCAGCCACTGTTATTCGGATAACATTTGGAAAGCTTTGCAGTGTATTAATGGAACCAAAAATAGCGTTTAACTATGTCCTCATTCATTCGTAAATAATATTTCAATTCTTTCCTGGCGAAAAAATAGCAAGATTTGTCTGTGTCACGATGAGAATTGTTAGATTCTCCTTGAAGAAATATAATTTTCATGCATGACCACAGCTTGTAATCTACAAAAAATATTTTTTGCCGAACATGCATTTGAGATAAAAAATAGTCTTCTTATCCTCAAAAAAAATTCTTTAGCACTCATTTCTTTGTTGTCATTAAATCGGATTCGATTCTTTGGTGAAAAATTGAGGGTAATTGCAATCAACACTTGGGTAGGTTAAATTTGTGCCGTCTCTAGAAATAAAGGGATTTCTTTTGTGGTGTGATTCCTCAACAATACATGCAATTTGGATTCTCAAATTTCAGACCTTTGTTTTAGGTACAATGCAGTAAGAAAAAAGCAGAGATATATTTTGGATGCACAAAGAAACATGAGATGTTCAGACGTAATTTTATTTCGTAGACCTCGCACAGTCTCTCTCTCTACTTATAATTGAACCAAATTAAGAAGGTTTTAATTAAGTTAAGCAGCAGGTGCCTCTGCCTTCATTTCATCTTGAATGGCTATTGCCAACAGATCATAGGCTTGAGCCCATGCACCATTCATTTCTTCACTCCATTTATCTCCCATTGCCTCTTTAACTGTTCTCAGCAAAGCCTCTTTCACAACCTATTTTAAGTTTTATAAAACACAAAAATGAATTAATTGACAATACTGAGCAAAGATTATATTTATTTTGAAAAGAAAAATTTATACGTACCTCGAAGTGAGGATTGATGACTCCTTTCTGAAGATGGATGGCTCCCAGCCATTTGAGAGTAGTATCGGCCACCACCACTTTTTCCCTCTCGCGAAGCTGAATAGCTGATTCACATGTCTTCATTTATTCATTCAAAAAGATCAATAAGTTGGTATTTAAGTTCTGGGAAATTCATCTTAAAATCAGCAGATGGTAAGTTCATTCCATAAATGATCTTTATATTGATTCTCAAGTTTGTTGGTAGCGGAATGTATTTCAATTAATCAAAGTTAAAATTATCTTTTAAGCCCGATAAAACTTTACAATATGGTAATAACATACTTTTTAAAGTTTGACAAAAGCTATTGTCCAGCAAAGACTTGAATTACTTTGGTATTATTATTTGTACGCCTATATATCTTTTCAGAAAAGATTGGACTGATCGTGACTTTTTTCACTCAATGACCCACAACTTCCATGGATCGAGTGAGGGAGCTCATCTATAATTCTCACATGGAGACCAAAATTCAATAAATAAATTAATAATTAAACAGAAATTAAATTAATTACCATCTTGAAAACCTTAACAGCATGAGCCTTGAATTTGGGATTGTTCTGCGGAATTTCATCTGTGTTTTGCAGAAATGAGAACATGTTCTTTGCTGCTGGGGCAATCTCCAGAATCCTGCGTTCATTCCATTATAAATAACAAATATTAATATTAATAGGGCCTTTTCTTTGTCATCTCTTTCTCTGTATATACTTACAATGTGAAGAAACGAAGGCTGAGCTCAGGAACATTTTGCTTCATCACCTCCCATGACTCCTTCACCAAACTTTCTTGTTTCTCACTGAAACCCATCTCTCTCTCTCTCTCTCTGTGAGAAGATGGGATTTTTCTCACCCAGCCAGCCTCTATATAGTGGCTAGCACAGAAATAAAGGGATAAATTAAGATTATCTCTTGGATTCATATCTATGAGATGTCCATCTGTATTTTGTTATTTTTTGAATGTATTTTTATTTATTGGACAACTTGATAATTGAGAGTTAATTGTTTCAATGGCAAATAAACTTAGATCCACGATTTCGATTGTTCATTGAAGTTTAAAATATCGAATTTTGATAATTGAACTTAGGTCCATGTCTTCAATTACTCATTAAAGTTTAAATTGTCGAGTTTTTGCCACTAAATTTTGAAAAATGTTTTATGTTACTCTCACTAGTATAGCTTTTATCTCAAACCTCTAATGGAATTAGTGACGTGACAGACGGAATGTACATGTAGCTTCCCATCACATCGTTAAACTTTGAGATGGTCGAATTTGGCCATTGAACTTTAAAATTTGTCTTTTATTGCTCACAGAACTTTGAAGCGATCGAAATTTGGGCATTGAACTTTTAAAAACGTCGAACTTTGGCCACTAAATTTTGAAAAAAATGTCTTATATTGTTTACTATAAATTTAGATTTAATCAAACATCTATAAAATAAAACATTTTACATGTAAACTCAAAATTTTTCCTAACTTTTTAACCTCACATTCTCCAATAATCACTATTTAAAAAACTCGATCATCTCAAATTTTAGTGGCCAAAATTCAACCATCTCAAAGTTTAGAGTATGGCCGAGTTTTTGCTACAAAACTTTGAAAAACGTCTTCTATGACTCACCATAAATTTGGATTTAATTAAAATTCATTGTTAAATTTTGGATTTAATTTTATTTAACAACAAACAAATTCATTGTGTGTTTCATTGTAAAATTCAAATATTATGATGAAAATAACTTCAAATTCTAAAAAAATAAAATAAATTTAAATTTTGCTACTGTGTAGTTGAGTAATCATTCCTAATGATATAAACAATGCTTGCAAAGTTGTACGAGGGAAGTGACTACTAATTGCAATGAAACACACAATATTTTTATCGTAAAAAAAAATTAAATTTGAATTTTTTTTTAATAACAAATTTTAGCCCCTTTTTGATTGCCATTATTTTTTGTAAACATAAAGAGTTCTAAAAATAGCCTCTTTGATTTTTATTTTTTTTATTTAAGAGATTATGTGGTTTTGGAAAAAAGTTGAATTTACATGTAAAGTATTTTATTGTATAGATGTGTGATTAAATTCAAAAATTTATAGTGAGCAATAGAAAATATTGTTCAAAGTTTAGTTGCCAAAATTTGATAATCTCAAAGTTCAGTAAGCAATAGAAGACATTTTTCTAAGTTTAGTGGTCAAATTTCGACCATCTCAAAGTTTAACGGTGTGACGGGATGCCACATGTGTATTCCGTCAACCATGTCACTAATTTCATTAGAGGCTTGATACGGAAATTATGCTAATTAGTAATGTACACCATTTTCCAAAGTTTATGACCAAAACTCGACATTTAAAATTTTAGTGAGCAATCAAAGATATGAACCTAAGTTCAGTGACCATTGGAACAATTAACTCTGACAATAACTCATTTGGAGCACCAATAAAAGTTAAGATTTTGTTTGGTGAGGAAGTAAATCAGATTTTTATTAGATTTTGATAAAAATTGATGAAATTTGTAGTTGAAAAATTATGGATCCAATAAAATATGTCATTACAATTAATTGTTGACGTTCACTTAAATTAAGATTTTGATTTTAATCCCTACTAAAGGACTAAAAACATTATTCTAAGATGCTATACCAATGCTCAAATGTACAAAAAGACACACTTTATATAGGAGATTGACGGTTGTGACATTCTAAACACCGATTTTAGGCCTATTCAAAGAGGACAACAAAGATAACTATAAGGAGCCTTTGAAACTCATGATAAGGCGTCACTAAAATGAAGCACGAAAGATGAGGTTTAGATATCGTTTTTCTTTACAATCATTTTAGTCTCTTAGATTGTTTGGTTTTTCTAAATTGTGCTTTCAACGGCAAAGGTCAGATTGTGTGTCGCCCTCTTAAATTTGCATTGCCCTTTTATTTTTAGTATTGGCAAGTATAAAATTTTAAGAGAAATAATGCTATCTAGCACTACTGGTCTTAGAACAACATTAATCTAACTGACGTTAAGTGATAAACTCAATGAAATATAGAATTAAGTAATTTATTTAATTATGAATAATGTTATTCATAGTAAGCGACTACAGTAGTCTTCCTACGTGACATGATTTTAGTAATTAAAGAAAACAATTAAATGGATTTCCATATTAATAATGAAATATTCACAAGTAGAATGCCATGTAGGATGATTTAGTCGCGACTATGAATAGCATCATTATTTAATTATGCCTTTCATTTAATGTCATATAAGTTCTCACCTACATTGTTGTTAAAACTTTAACACCAACGATGCTAAATAATATTACTCTTTTAAGAGACATGTTTGCAATGAAAGAGTGCAAAGAAGAAGGTCGTGAGGATGGGACACATGGATATTCTAGAGCAAGGCGGATGCTGACTTTTTTGACTCAGGGGGCACAATAAGACCTTGTATAGATCGAATACTTTGTTCTTGATTTTTGAATAATTCATACTTGACTCGAGAAGATGTAGAATTAAGTTTAAAAACACATTCCTTCATTAATATTTTGTTCATCATGTTCATTCATGTAATTTTGAACACTCCTTTTATTAATATTTTGCTTATCATAACAAAATGCGTATTTTCGTTTAAAGAATTTATAGTGTATTTGATACAAACAATCAATTCAAGTAATAAAAAGAAAAAATATATAAATATGATAAAAAAAAATATTTAAAAAAAAAAAAAAAAAAAAAAAAAAAAAAAAAAAAATATATATATATATATATATATATATATATTTCAATCAAATAGACACAATTTGTTAAATATAAGTCAAATTGGGTATAATAATTTAAAACTCATTCTATATACAAAATTTGATCGGAGAAAATGCAAATTTAGGTTCAAAATTTGATTAGGAAACGAAGAAAATGTTATAATTTGTAGAGAAACTATAGACAAATTTTAAAAAATTATAAGAGTTAAGATTTTGATAAAATACGTGAGTGAGAGAGCCACGAGAGTATAAAAAAATTGGAAAGTTCAAATCTATTGTAATTTTGTGCATGTTTGATGAAGATTAAAATTAAAATTCTAGTAAATTTTGAAAAAAATTGAAACGTTATGAATTCTATAAAATATGTTATTAAAATTAATCGTTAATTTTGATTTATATTAAAATTTAGATTTTAATTCATATCAATAAGAGTTTTATTAAAAAAAGAAAAAAAAAAAAACACTCAAAAGTCGGGGAGTCACGTGACCCCCAAAACTCTCCTTGTGTCCACCCCTGTTCTAGAGTGTCAAGATGAATTCCACCGTGTATATAATATATCATTGAAAAGCCTATCGAATCAAAATGGCTACACAGGATATTTAAGCATTTATCTCCAAATGATTAGGTGTCCTATTTAAGCTTTGTGTACACTCCCTTGTGTGTACAAGCCAAACGCTTGCACGAGTAAGGGTTTTTCAATACAATGCTCTCTGATTTTGTTCTTCTCTTTCTCTTATGGGGGCTGTTTAACATACTCTCTGTCAATATTTATACTGTTGATTGAGCCGTATTTGGTTTCTATCAATAATGTAACTAAATTAGATTCAGTGACATTTACATTATCCGTGGTAAGAGTGAGAGCTATGATATTGATATTGAGTCATCTTTGATATGCACATTTCACTACACCACATTTTTGGATAATTCAGGGACCAATATTGATATCGAGTCATCTTCCTCTAAAATCTACCTTTTTCGGTTTTTCCTCTCTTCTTCATCATTTGCTAATGTCTCTTCCGCTCTCCAGAATCCCGTCTTTTCCTTCTCTTTTTTATCCATTTCTTGGAACACAGTGTTTAAAATTTTAAATGTTACCTTTTAAAATTATGTTTTACAAAATAAGTAACTTAAAAGTAAATAAGTAGCTCTTCTAAGCAAACCAAACAGGCTAGGATTAGAATAACTAACCAGCAAGGTAGGAATCCGAAGAAGATGAGGAATGCTGCAAAGGAGATGTAACCAGAGAGAGAACCCTCTCTCTTTCGCACGCACAGTTCCCATGTCCCCATCAGTGCCACCGCTCCAAGTTCTTCCTTTCTTCATGTTGAAATAAACTCAAAAAAGAAAAATATTATCTCCGAAAACCCTACAAACAAAGTTAATTCATTTTTGATTATTCCTTAAATTATTCACTAATAACATCATTATTATACGCAATCTTGTTATTATTATAACAAATTTCTGAGCATTCAAGAAGAAAGAAATCTCCTTTCTTTTAGAGTCTCTTTTACAGAAAGAAACAATACTGTATTTTCATCGGTCTCTCTTCTTGATTATGTGATATTGGTGGACAACAGTAGCTTACTCTAATTTTCAAGCTTATCGATCTAAGATTTTAATGCAGTGCAGGTTTGATCATTTTAACAAAGATGAAATAAATAATTGATGCGTTTGTAGTATCGATGGAGACGGTATAAAAATAAGAACTGTGATGCTCACACTCTTTAGTTTGGATGACATACTTGTATTGACAAAACACGACATAGGTATATGGGTATGGATCCTGTGTTGGATTCTTCAATTTAAAAATGTACAAGACAGAAAAATGGAAGGGAGATTGCTCTGGAAGGAAGTAGAAGTTGCTGGGAGATAAGCAATAAAATTGATGATGAGGAATAAAACCAAGATTTTAAAGGCATGAAATCAAGCCCATTTAATGCCACACTCACAAATACATATAAAATTATTAGTATAGTATTCTAAAAAAATCATGTTTATGTTTGAAAGACATGCATTTGCCCATGTCCAAATTTTGGATCATTTTTAGACATCTTTGTATCTTAAGTTTTAGAAGAAAAACGATTTGATTCTAGATGTATACCCATACCGGACACCCGTACCCAATTCCGAGCAACGTAGAATAAGAGTGGAGGACAGGGAAAGAGAAGGGGAGGAAGAAAATATAGAAGGCCTAATAATAGTGAGTTAATTCCTTTTTGTGTTTGACTGGCATGAATCAAGGTTGCATGAGTGCTCAAATATCTTTGTCACAAATATGTTTAGGTTTTTATGTACAACACATGTTGATTGATCTTGATAAAAGTCCACTGATGGGCCTCATTATTATTTTTTTTTTTGTTTTTAAAATTTCCTGGTATCATAGTTATTTCTGCTTTTCGGAGGGGTATCCTCTTTGATATTCTGTATGCATATTACATGTAATCATTTTTCTATATAATATGTTGGAGGAAATTTTTGCAATTTTTATTTGATTGCATGCTTATAAATTTCATTCAGGGAAGGGTTCCGCTCCAGATTGGAAAACATTGTTCGTGGCCAAGTATGCAGTCAAATTGAAACTTCATCTGACAATAACAACAGTGATTCTAGAAATGATCAGACTGATACAAATTCTTCACAGGAAGTTCAACATGAGAATAATGACCAATCTCAATTTAGAAATCAGGAAAGTGAAGTTAACCCATTGCAGGATCGTATGTCAAATTTGGATAGCAGCACAGCTGTTCAAAGTACAGTTCAACAAGCTATTGCAGATCAAGGAAGCAATTGGCAGGAACAGATTACTGAAGATGAGAGAGAAAACGTGCAAGAATCAACCTATAATGAGTCCAATGGATGGAGAGATGGCACATTGCAAGACACTGATAGGAACTGGCAGGAAAATCCTGTACCTAATTGGAACTTGGAAGCATCAGCAAATGAAGGTGGAGGTCAAAGTCAGCTGGAAGAAGTCCATCAGGTTTGGCGTGATGATGGCTCTCGCTCTCGAGAAGCTATAGATAATTGGTCGGAAGGACCGTCAGATATTCCAAGAAGGCGGGACTCTCTACCACACAGAAGGGGCACCAGGTTCCACCCTCCTGATGATGATAACGTGTACAGCATGGAACTCAGGGAGCTTCTTAGCAGGTTATTGTCTCACACCGTTATGTGCTCAAGCTTTATATTTTTTGGGCTTATATTCAACTTAGTTATTTATAAATAATTTATAATCGGTCAAATCACTTTTTATTCTACATGAAGACTCACAAGTACTACTCACTTGCCTACCACTCATTGCTATCTATTTATAATTTAAATTGTTTATAAGCACTTCCCAAATGTGCTTTTACTTTTCATTGTAGGCTTTTACTTTTCATTGTAGGAGGAGTGTCTCTAATCTTCTTCATAGTGGTTTCCGTGAGAGCCTAGATCAGTTGATTCAATCATATGTAGAAGGGCAAGGCAGGTCTCCTATTGACTGGGATCTGCACAGGAACTTGCCTCTTCCAGCATCCCCGGAGAGGGATCAGGACCAACATAATGATGATCAGAATGAGGATCAGCATGATGCAGTAGGTAGACCTTCATTGCTATTACCATCCCCTCCAGTACCACCATCTCAACCACTTTGGCATCAGGATTTGCACCACTCTAGTTGGTCTCGTCACCATCGATCTGAACTCGTGAGTTGATTTTTTCTTGTAATCTCTGTTTTCAAGGATGTGAATTGTGAAGCGCATATAATTTGTTATGTCCTCTCCTCAAGAAATCAGGATATTATTATTTGACAGTTGTCCGATTAAGGCTTTGGATGTCATGGTTGATTATGTGAGAGTGGCCAAACAGTTGAGGCCTGATTAGGTTATGGTCCTCGAAAACGTTTCGATGATATAGGTATTATAAAATGCCCAAATGTTAAGGAATACCTATTCATTTGCGTACTATATGAAGGGAAGATTAAAATTGGATTGATGAATTTAGGAAATGACATTTGTCATTCATCATCTCGTGTGAAAATTGGCAACAAATTGTCCAGAAGCTACTCAACTTGGTTCTCGTACTTAATATCTATGTTTATCGCCGAAATCTCATGTTGCTTAAGCATAGTGGGTCAAAAATCTGCTAGAGTAGTTAGTGAGGTTGATCAGTGTGACTGTCCTTTTAAAATTGTGCTAACCTGTGATTCTTCCAGCTTTGGAATCATTTCATTGCTCAATACTAAGACTTAAAATCTGACTAGTTTTAGTCTTCAATATAAGCAAAACTGAGGTTCAGTTTGGAGTCTGAATGGATCGTTCCAAATTCTCTGAGGCCATTTACCATCCCATTATTTGCAGAACTGTTGATGAGACTATGATTATGCAATTTCACGTTTGAACTGAATCCTTGCTTCCTAATTATGGGCAGGAGTGGGAGATGATTAATGATCTGAGAGCAGACGTTGCAAAACTTCAGCAAGGTATGAACCATATGCAAAGGATGTTAGAATCTTGCATGGACATGCAACTGGAGTTGCAACGGTCAGTCCGGCAGGAAGTCTCAGCTGCTCTTAATCGATCAACTGGTGGACAAGGTTTGTTTGTAATCTTGATGCTATGAACCTTGAGTTTCTACCTATTCAAGCCTCATAAAAGTTGTTTTTGCCTTATCACGAGCTTATGTAGCCATTTCTGGTGTTTCTCACCTTTCAACGGCTCTCTCTATTAATTGCCCTAGATTAGCAAAATGTTGCTTCTGTCCTTCGATTAAATTGAATTTTCTGTTAGAGAGCTGTCTTACATTGTTTGCTGTAAAACGTTTTATTAATGCATGTGCATACATTCAGGGATGGCAGAGACTTCAGAGGATGGGTCTAAATGGGGTCAGGTTAGAAAGGGTACCTGCTGTGTTTGCTGTGATAACCACATTGATTCTTTATTGTACAGGTATGGTAACCTATTGTATTATGCTAAATTATACGCCCTACTATTCTGCACACAACTCCAATGCACGCCCATTTAGACAAATATACTAGTTTGAAGTCATTTAAAATCTTTTTGAAGCCAAATATCGACATCATATCGTCCACGGTACCGTTCTTTGCTTAATGGGAGTCCATCGGTGGTGAAAAAGGCTTTATATGAACTTTCTATGTTAAATCGACACCATATGGAGAGTTGCAGACTCTTTTATGTCACAACAGTTGTTTTTGAGTTGGGGTAAATTTAATTTTTGCGGCCACCTTACATATGTCTCTCTGATCTGCAGATGTGGGCATATGTGCACTTGTTCTAAATGTGCAAACGAGTTGGTTCGCAGAGGAGGAAAGTGTCCATTGTGTCGTGCACCCATTGTTGAGGTGATTAGAGCTTACTCCATACTGTAAAAAGAAACCATAGAGAATAAAATTTGCGAACCATTGATAAGATACGTTGGAGCCAGGGGCGAATCCAGCATCAAAGTTCAGCTAGGGCGGAGATTGACTTTGATACCAAAAATCAGGTTTCGGGAATCTCCATCACAAGAAAGATAGTTTCTAGGAACTGGTAATCTAAGCTCATATTAGCGGGTGCTTTGGTTTTCCATTACAACATTTCAATTCTTATTGTTACCCGCAAAACTAATTCCCAAAATTACTTGTTAGTCACATCCTGTAATCTAAAAATTCCCTCTTTTCTCTCTGTTGTGGCACTATACTTGATCTCCTCTCTAATTCAACATTTAATTCAAATATTCTCTGTTGATTTAGCATTTTTTTGCAAGAATTTTCCTAAAAAAGACAATGATTCCTTTCATATATTTCAATTAAAATAACAAATAAATGTGATATTGTACATTTAACTAAGTGAATGGCTAATGAACTTATAACAGAAAACCAACACTACAAATTAACTATGTCGTCATCACGACTTTTGTCCCCAAAAAATAAAAACAATACATAGTACATATGTCAAAATCATGATATATCTCACATCAAGACTAACATTCAAAACAAGACTAAAGAATAAAAGGACTCACATTCGTGATCGATGCTTGAGTTTCCAGAAAATTGCATACTTCCAACCAGTTGAAACACAGGTCAGTTGCAATTCCCAATTCCCACTTCGCAAGGGTGAGGCGCCACAGCTGCTTCTGCTTCGAATGGAAAAAGGGAAATGGAAGGGAAGGGTTTGCATTTTGGGTCTAGGTCTTCGGCTCTTTGCTCAATTTGCCCTGCCGATTACAACTTCCAAATATTGGGGATTTGGAGTTTGGGTTGTTGGTTGATTTGGGTTGGGGAAAATTAATACCATGGATGATGGATCCTCTATTGGGCCTAATTTTTTTTAAACAAAAGGAGGCCCGCCCAATTCCGGTCATTAGTGTAAGCTCCAAAGAGAAAAATGGAAGTCATCTTCTTTCTTCCTCCTCCAGCACTGGCTCTGCATTCTGCGAACCTTGCGCGGCTGCGCTTGCTGCCCGGCGGCAACTGAACATTCCGACGGATCCAGCACGGGGCGGCCGCGGGTGCTCGCCAGGTGTTGGATCCGCGCCTGGTTGGAGCTGTGATCGATTTTACTCGTCTGAAGCTCAATCTTATCTGTAGAGTGTTTAGTCAGCCACTGTTATTCGGATAACATTTGGAAAGCTTTGTAGTGTATTAATGGAACCAAAAATAGCGTTTAACTATGTCCTCATTCATTCGTAAATAATATTTCAATTCTTTCCTGGCGAAAAAATAGCAAGATTTGTCTGTGTCACGATGAGAGTTTTTAGATTCTCCTTGAAGAAATATAATTTTCATGCATTGTACAATGCAGTAAGAAAAAAACAGAAATATATTTTGGATGCACACAGAACATGAGATGTTCAGACGTAATTTTATTTAGTAGCCCTCGCTCCGTAGTCTTTTCACGTGGCATGTCATGATTTTAATAATTAAGAAAAGGGAAACAATTAAATAGGTTTCCATATCCCTACTATATATAAAAAAGGGGAATGTGAGGGCACTGTAGAAAGAAACAGTGTCTTGATCCATCTTTACTGTAGCTTTTTTTTTTTTGTTTTTTTTGTTTTTTTTTTCAATTGGGGGCAAAAAACGACGCCGTTTGCTTGATATATATTTTATTTTATTGTACACTACTTTCAAATTTACTGCAACACGCAATTTTCATTCCTCCCCCACTCCGATATAGATATATATAGTAGGGATATAAGAAAAATATCACTTTTATATTATACCACAGCTTGTAATCTACAAAAAAATGTTTTTTGCCGAACATGCATTTGAGATAAAAAAAATAGTCTTCTTATCCTCAAAAAAATTCTTTAGCACTCGTTTCTTTGTTATTAAATCGGATTCAATTCTTTGATGAAAAATTGAGGGTAATTGCAATCAACACTTGGGTAGGTTAAATTTGTGCCGTCTCTAGAAATAAAGAGATTTCTTTTGTGGTGTGATTCCTCAACAATACATGCAATTTGGATTCTCAAATTTCAGACCTTTGTTTTAGGTACAATGAAGTAAGGAAAAAAACAGAAATATATTTTGGATGCACACAGAACATGAGATGTTCAGACGAAATTTTATTTAGTAGACCTCGCACAGTCTCTCTCTCTCTCTCTCTCTCTCTCTCTCTCTCTCTCTCTCTCTCTCTCTC